TTCCTTTCTTGCCGTTTCTTCGCACTCGCCTTCGGTTCTACGCTGCAGCTACGAGCCTCGGAACTCGATTCAGTTGTCGAAAACAACTTCATGCTCAAAGTCACATTGTGACTGACGGTCAGTCAGTCTGTCTTGGTGTCGAGCCCCAGCTGGGGCTCATGACCAGATGTTACTTTTTAAATGAAAGTTACTGTCCTGTTGGCCGCGCCATAGCTCAAGCGGTTAGTCGCTGGCTTCCTACCGCGGCGGCCCGGGTTCGATCCCGGGTCTGGTCAAGTGGAATTTGTGGTGGACAAAGTGGCGCTGGGGCAGGTTTTCTCCAAGTACTTCAGTTTCCTCTGCCAATCTTGATTCTACCAATTGCTCCACAATCACCCTCACCTATCATCTGGGGCTGGTACAATAGGCCAGAAGTGGCCGCAGTGCAAGGGACTTATTTCCACCCCACTAGCAATAAAAAAAAAATCTATCCTGTCCATCTGGGGCGCCCTCTCTGACGGGAGGTCGGGTCTGTCATTTGTTAGTCGTAGTCGATTGTGTTAGTCCTTTGTCACTATGTACACATATTTACAATTGAGTCTTAATATCTAGTATGTATAATATATATACAAGGCCTCTGTCAGTCCAGGCTCAGTACACCAGACTATGCCCTATTTCTAGTAGTATTCGCTACCACAGCGGTCTAGTCACTTGAACGGTCGTATGCCTGACCGCCGCCAAGTTTAAGCCTCTTGTACTTTCTTTGTCGGGCTTCTCCTTGTCCAGTATTGCGAACATTTTCGTTATCATGATTTGGTATGACTTCAGACACTGCACCATTGAACTCTGCCATGATCTGCTGTACTACAGTCACAACTCTCAACACATTGTCGAGAGGTTGACTATTTGCATGAGGAGCCTGAACTGATTGACCTGTTTCTTTCTGCAGTGCAGGGACCGGTACATTTTGTTTTGTTACTGTAGGGCAAACCACTGGGGCGGGGTTTGCCTGTGGCCGCAGTTGTTCTGCGGTGCCTCGTAGTGCCGCCACGAAGGACGCCTGGGTTGACGAGGTTCGATGAGAACACCCTCTCCATAGCAGTTTTCGGTGTTCTCTTGACCTTCCTTTTTTGCAGCTTTTCCCAGGCGTGTCTGCAACCCCGATAGTTGGCGGGATATGGCCTGTCTCCCTCTGCCAACCAGCAGTTGAAGCATGTTTAGGTGGAAGCAGCGTTTCCCTTCTCTGGGCATTCCGTAAGCAGGTGGCCGCCTCCGCACCACAAACAGCGTGGAGGTTGTTTACAATTAGCCCAGACGTGGCCAAACTGTTGACAGTTATGACATTGCGTAAGTCCAGTCTGAGCTCTATACGTCTCCACCTTGATTGATATGTGGCAAAGGCTTGGCAGATTAAATATTTCCTGTGATTTTGCCGTCCGCGGCAAGGTTATCAGGAACAAGGGAAGGTTCCTGGTTGTTATTTCTTCGGAAGGGGAACGGCGGGTTGTCGTCATTTGCTTGACGCTAACAACGTCGAATCCCAGGTTTTCCAGAACTTCTGAAATATCCTGGGCAAGTGTATTGATGGGGAGGTGTCGGAGTACTGTCTTAACGGACTTCATGGATTTAAAGAAAAATGAGTAGTAAGCTTGGCTACTTTTGTTGAAATGTTCTTTGACGGATTCAACATCCGCCATGCTTTTCGTGAGGACTCTCGTTCCATTTTTTTGTGCTATGGAACTCGAAGCCGCCCTTGATCACGTTTTGGAGTTGCTTCTACAACTGGATGAGGTTTACTGCTGATGTCAATATTATTGGAGACGGCCTACCTGTTTTGCCAGAGACTGCCTCCCCAGGTATAGCGGCCTCCGCACTAGTGCTGTCCGTCTCCATTAATGTTTTCAGGGAGGTGAAGAAATTGCGGGTGGCAACCTCTTTAGGGGGTGTGATTGCAGCGGCTGACACTGCTTTCTGCGAGGTCGGGACGGCCTCGTTGGTACCGTGCTGCTTGCGCCGCCGGACTTCTTTGTATCCGCCCTCATGGGTGGAAGAGGACTTATTAGTTGCCTCAGACTGAACAGTTTGACTGCTCGCCTTCACCACTGCCTTTAATTCCTGTAAGGCGACTGTGCATGTGCCATGCAGGGCACTGAACAGGGTCTTGCCTGTTAGGATCTGGCAGTAGTTCTGGCCGTTTTCGTCCGCCTCACTGACGATGGAGCACTACTCATTGTCACCCACCGAAGCTGGAGTGTACCCTGCCACGTCCTCGATGTCGCGGAGTACTCGAAGGAGCTGTTTCAGCTGTGCGTCTGCGTCGGGGAACTCGCCTACCAGCTGCTGGTACTGTGATTTTAGCGTCTGACGCTTCTTGGTCCAGTGTGCCCGGTATCCCGGTACTGGGTTGGCAGCCATATTTGGCCCCACTGTTCTTGTCTCGTGTTCACTCACTTCAGTTTTCGAAGAACCACTATCAACAACGAATATAAAAAGTAATCCAATGTCGCAGACTCCTCTCTTCACTGTTCAGCTACAATCGAGGCGAACACATACCTAACGGCCAATAATCTCGACTCACAATCTCACACACACAAGCAGCAGACAAACACTTGAACTAATGAATCAACGGACTGTGTCATCGTGTACTCGAATCGGCTCACTCCTATGTCACTATGTACACGTATAAGTCTCGACTCTCGACTCTCACTGTCCACTCTCTGTCTGTTCAACTGGAACTTGCTCCCTTGGAACGTCTCGTCATGAAGCCTCGGGGCGGATACCACGGGAAACACCGTTATTGTCCCGTGTTGTTTTGTGCGTGTTTACTGGTCCGTTGCCTAGCAATAAACGTCCTATTGTTGCGCGCGTTCGCTCCAGCGGGAATGTGTTTTTGTCTTGTCTAGCAATGGTCTATATGTCACAATATCACTGGGTAGTATTATACTATTATCAGGATGTCATAAGAGGGAGATGAGATGGACAGGGCATGAAGCACGAACGGTTGAGATGAAATTCAGTGGAAAACAATATGGTGGTCTCTGCCTTCTGCAGTAAGTCAACATCAGGTACATGGCGAGATTTGCAGCTCTCACGATTGACAGTGGGATGTAACGCCGTTTAGTCTGGTAGTTAGTTAGCAACGTTTCGGAAGACATTTCTCTCTCCATATTCAGGCTATGACAGTGAGTCGCGAGGGTGAGGGAGAAAGAGTACTAGGAGTAAGGGCGGCTGGAGTGGGAGTGAAATTAATGGAAACTTATTAAGGCCTTTACAGGTTCACAGAGTCCCCTTTTATTGTACTGCTTATATGCTAAATTCCTGGCCAATAACGGCAGAAAATATAATCAAATGTATTTTGTTTAATAGATTCGAATTGCACGACACTTTAGCCCAAGTTATGTGGCTCCCGAATATTTTTTAATATTCTTTCATATATTAATAAAAATGCTTGCATCAAATTAAGCCTGTATACCATTTGTCAGGCAAAAGAATACCGTATTTACGCATGTATAGGCCGCACATTTTTTGCCAAAAATTCAAGAGGAAAACTGGGGTGCGGCTTATATTCGAAATATTCGAAATCACACTTCATTTAAAAAAAAATATATTCATAATTAGTAATACAGGGTGTTCTACTCCTGAAGGGTGGCACAGATTGTAAGAACACTAAAAGAAATACTTCTGTATAAAATACGCCGCTTCCGTTCAAAAGTCTATACAGAAATGCTGTAATTATACATATAAAAAGTGTATCTGTCCAGATTTCGAATCAGCGTGTCCGTATTCATTTAAAAAGTTCGTTTTGTTCTTACGTTTTCATAACCTCTTTTTTCTACAATTTCTGTCTGAAAATTGTGCTGCGACCTATACATGCGTAAATACGGTATTTATGATTGCCATGCTCGTTGGGTGCGGGGGGTTGTATGCTTTCAAAAGCTGCTTGGCCCAGATTACATGGGCTTAAGGCTGACAGCCTCACCGCCATCTGTGAGGCGGTTGTCTGGAAAACGTGAGTCTCTCGACGTCTCACAACCATACAAGCCTCCACGGCCTGTTACACTGCTAGCGTTACCTTCCCTTACCCCTATTTGCAATTTTGCTTTGGGCCTTCGGTCTTGATGTTTGTCTACTGTGGGCAGAAGCGTTCTGTTTCCTGAGCCAAAAACAGGAATGAATCGTTTGTTGTTCTAATGCGTAAAACGGCATGGAGCGTATTCTTTGCTTTGAAAACTCTTAATTGTGCCCGCACAGTGTATGTATGTAACAAGTAAAGCTGTCCGTGTTATAGGTAATGGAAGTCCATAGGCTTCTGAGACGTCGAGGCGCCCATATTTTCTGGACAGTCTACTCACAGTTTGCGGTGAGGTTGTCAGCCTTACGCACCGGCCACTCTTTAACCCCAGAAGGATTCTTGGGACTCATTTCTGTTAGAGGCTGAGTCGACCCCAGGGCCATAGTGCGTCTGGAATGATTATGCCAATTGAAAAATTTAATGACCTCATCGGGAATCAAACTCACGACCTTCCGGCTTGTAGCACATGTTCCTCGTATTACCCTCACAACACAGCTGTCACCTACAAAGCATTAAACAGTTGGTCTTACTAATGAAGAGGCAATGTTTCCTGTGGTGTAGGAGCTGAGATTTGATTACAGGAATCACGGGTTTCCAAAAGATTTCATTTCTGATTTTCTGTTGGTCCACGTGTTACGTTGCATCCCTGTGTGTTCATACTCCCCGTTGGCTCGCTGTGTGTGACTCTGTACTTCTGAACAATGTGTAGATAAAGGTCAGGCTTCAGATGGTTAAATGTTTACGTCAACATCGAGTGGGCAACACTTCTGCCTCATATTCCTGAGGTCCGGGCTTCTAAATCTGGGGCCGGACACTGACATATTTATAGTTTCCTCAGTACCTCCAGTATAATGCTGGGATAGTACTTCAGATCAGGCCACGACCACTTCCTTGCATGCGATTTTCCTGCCACTCGACGCTACTGACAAGTTCCAGTTGTCTGTTACAGGCTCCTGGGACGCGGGTCCATGTTCGTATATTCGCTGGACCAGTTCCGTCGCTTGCTGGCCGTGACGGAGGGATGGCGTGGCGGTGCCTTGTTGGACCTGGGTGCAGGCGATGGCAAGACCACAGAGGTGATGGGGCAGCTCTTCAGCAACGTGTACGTCACAGAGATTTCCGGGTCCATGCGCTGGGTACTTGCCAAGAGAGGCTTCCAGTGAGTAACCGTCCCGTTACCCGGTGTCAGCAGGTGCCTTATGGTATTTCGTACTGTACAGTTACTCCGTCTGATCTTGTGCACTTAGAGAACTGTTAGAGCGAGGGCACACCGAAGAAACTGGCAACCGCAACGCAACCGCAGTTTCCGAGAATTGTTATCAGGCTGAGTTGAACACATGTTAGTGAACGGAGTAGCGCAAATTGAGGAAACTCCGTTGCAGTGTCCCCAATTTGCGCTTCCTTCGATAACGCTGAAGAATGTGCTGTACAAAGTGGCTACAAGCCAGAAGGTCGCGGGTTCGATCCCCAATTAAGTTATTGGACCTTTCAATTTACCGAATCCTTCCAGCCACATTATGGCCCTGGGGTTGACTCAGCCTCTAACAGAAATGAGTAACAGGAATCTTCGTAGGGTTAAAGGGTGGCCGGCGCATAAGGCTGACAACTTCACCGCCAAATGTGAGCCGATTGTCTATAAAATGTGGGATCTTTGACATCTCACAAACTTGTAGGCCTCCACGGCCTGTTACAGTGATAACGTTACGTTTTTTAAGGGTTATACAAATCAACAGGCCTAATATAATCAGATGTTCTGTATGGGTGTGAAACATGGTCTCATAGTTTTAGAGAAGAACATGAATTAGAAGTAATGTTGTATCTTAGCATCCTGTTGCAGTTGGTATTAACAATTGATGGTTCTGTTTACCGTTTATTTTGCCACAGTATCAAGATTTAAAATTAAATCCATTCTAATATCTGTCACTGCACCACCCGTTCCGGCCTACTCGCCATCATCAGGTGCGTTGAAATTAACGTCCGCACTGCACACGTGACAGACAACAGGCATACCGAAAAGACGATACGTGTGCCACAGAAGGAGGAACTAAACTGACTTCATTTAGAAACACTGTAAACACGAAAACACGGATCGCAGTAGCGCCGAAAACACAGCAGTTCCCCCGAATTTCAACGGGCCTGATGATGGCCTAGTAGGCCGGAACAGGTAGTGAAGGGTCGAATTTTAAATCTTGATAATGTTGCAGGGTGGACGGTACACAAAACTGTAAAATTAGAAAGTAGAAGTGTTTGAAAAAAAAAGTGCTCAACGAAATGCTGGGACCTAAGGAGCACGCAGTGGGCCTACAGGTTTGCTGCTGTGTATACAGACCACAGAGCGCCATGGAGCGACGCAGAATGGGTACAGGATAGCGGTGGCTGCGCGGTCTAAGGCATGAGCTGTCCTCGCTCGCTTGCTCGAACACTGCGATCATGGTTTCGAATCCCACACGAGGCATGGATGTCTGTGTGTGTATGCATTTATTCTGTGTTTCTGTTGTCCTGTGTGTAGGTAGCGGCCTCGACTGTGTATAGATTACGAAACTGAAGAAGACGCCAGGGCCCAACAAAGGGCTGTAGAGCCATTAATGGATGAATGAATAAAAAACCGGTTAAAGAAGGTCTTGAAAAACATTCACTTGGAAGACCCAAAATAAGATGGAAGGATAACGTCAAGATGGGTTTGTGAGGGGGGGGGAGAGACTAAGACTGCTGTCCAGTGTTATTACTAGCGATGGTCAGCCTTCGGGTTATGCTGTCAGAGAATTTATCACAATGTTTATCTAACAGAAGATATTTCTTTCTCCGGTTACGCGCTTCTGCCCCAGATATTTAGTGAGAGAACAAAAACTCGGTGGTTCCGTAAACTGGCGCGTGGCTACCATGGAGTGTCCCCCCACTGTGGGAAAATAATTTGCTTGCAGTTACGCAGTTTCGAGAAACAAGTTGCGCGCAAACGGAGAGTACGCTATCCCGCACAGATGGGCACGCGACATCAGTTGTGTCATTTTTGCACAGAAGTGTGTCAGGCTGGTAAACAGACACTTGTACACGTGTTTCGGTCTGCAGATGGCGCAGATACTGGTTATCCTCTCAGATCACTCTCGAATCTGAAACCATATGTTTTAATTGCGACAAACCACCTCTGTGGTCTAGTGGTCAGAGTTCCTGGGTATAGATCCAGACGTCCCGGGTTCGATTCCTGGCGTTATCGGATTTTCTGAGAAGTAGTGGGTCTGGAACGGGGTCGGGGTCCACTCAGCCTCGTGAGGATAACTGAGAAACTATTTCAAGGAAATAGCCGCACCGGTCTACAAAAACGGAAATTAACGGCCGTGGGGATTCGTTGCGTTGACCACGCGATACCCTCTATCCGCTAAAGTTGGCACTAACTTCGCCGACGAGCGGTGGTCGCTCACTCGTTATGGTTCGCTTGCGGACTCAAGCCATGGAGTTTAGTTCTAGATCTCCAAAAGTTCCTCATCAAACTACCGTACTGAAACATCGTGCTGTTCATTCAGTCACAATAATTTTATTCATAAAACTATGTTGGCATCATTGTGTGTTTTGTCCTACATATCTGTTAGCTAACTTTGTTTTACTTCGCCTCGCAATGACCGGATACGGTCAAAACATATGAACAACAGGAAGTTCTGGCACGAACTGATCACCTACTTTCCTTCGATACTAGGTATATGGACCGCGAAGAAAACGACGCCTCCAGCAATTTTTCGTTACCGCGGGAACGTCTTTACAGAGCCGTTGCGCAGCAACGAAACTAGGGATACAGTTTGCCTAGCAGCGATAGGAGAGATACACATACAAACACAAAGACTGATGGTAGGGATTTATGAAGCACGCCGTTGAGATGGGTTCAGGTGCTATGATGTACATAACAAGTTTCATAAAGATTGGTTCAAGCGTTCAAAAGTTGTTGGGGGGAGGGAATACACACGTACACAGACAACACAGAGATCGCATAAGCCTTATTTAAGGAAGCAGGCTAGAAAATAAAAGCAAAAATAAGTTCTTGGAAGAACTAATCTCCTACTTCCCTTTGATACGACACGGACTGCATAGAAAACGAAAGAATTTGTGGGAGGGACACATACAGACAAATAGTGATATTATATAATAACTACCAACGGCCTGTTGCCTAGCAACGACAAAGAGGGTGGACACAGACACACAGTATTGTGATATTTTTTATTATGTTTGTGGGACTGTTATTATATGACCTGTAGAGAGACACATGAGGGCTGCAATCCTTTGAAAATGTTCTATCACTTGGAACGCACACCCTGTAGCCAGGCTGGGCGCAGAGCCATGATGAGGCTCGTTTCCATTAGAGAGTCACTCCCACCTTTCGGATGGGAATGGAATCAGCCACGCCTCTCACTAGTAATTGGAAATTGATTCGTGGAGAGCAGTTCGCACGCCCGCTCAAATTGCCACTCGTTGAGGAGAAATAAGGCGTCTGTACTCTTCACAACTCTTCGGCATTTATCTGGAGAAATGTTTAACACTTTACATCACCCCTCGGGGAAAGCCCCGTTTCACAACGCATAAAAGTCTTGGAAAGAATAAAAATGTATTGTCAGATTTACTTTGGTGACTGACTGCTAAATTGCTGCTGGCCCTCGCCAGCACAGTGATTCTTGGTTCCAAGTCTCACGGCACTCATGAACTAGTTCTACACGAGAAACAGCGGCAGTTTAAGCTACGGACGAAGGACAAATGGAACACAAAAATTGGAGGGAGGCACACAGAGGCGATAAGATGTTCTCATAAGCCTCATTTTATTTTTTCCAAATAAAATAGTGGACTAAAAACTCTGCATTTTGTCCGCACAGTGTATCTATGTGTTCCATATGGTTCTCGCAGCAAACAGCTACTGTTTCCCTAAACAGCATTAACCGGTTGGGTTTTGTAGCGTAGACGCCTGGCAGTTTCTGCGCAACTAAAAGATAATTCTTACATATTGTTAAGTAATTGACTGTACGAGTATGTAGGTTGGGGTTGAGTTGGTAATTGGATATACTGAACATTTACAAATCGAAACTACAACTATAGCTCTATCGCTAGTTCACACACACTGCAGTTCACTACAACACATACTAAATCTTCTCAGATTGCTGTATCTTCACCGGTTCTTGCCTAGTAATGGCTTCCAACCGCGGACGTTCCCCTTCCTCTGGGTTCCTGTAATATTCCCATGCCTCCGCTACCAGCTTCTTACAGCAACAGGTCACAAGGACTGAGCAATTAACTTATTCAACTCGATACATGATACAAACTCCGTCTTCAGTGCAAATCATATATTATACGTCTTTCGTTTTGCTCTCCTTTACACGCTACATGTTTCGGCCACAAACGGCCATCATCAGGTCTATTACTCACGTATCTGTCACACTGCACTTAGTTTAACATTTAAAATTTAAAAACACAGGTCTTCCTGATACGTGAGTAATAGACCTGATGATGGCCGTTTGTGGCCGAAACATGTAGCGTGTAAAGGAGAGCAAAACGAAAGACCTGTAATATATGATTTGCACTGAAGACGGAGTTTGTATCATGTGTCGTATGGAGCGCAACGGGATGCTTAAATATAATATTATTCAACTCCACTGGCTGCCTCTGCCCACTAACTCTATACTTGTCCTGCTTGTAACATCTTGGCACGGACCACACAGAAAACACAGTTTCTCTGTTTGTTAGCCGACAGCGCAGAAAACACCATTCTTTTATTGCTGTTTATGGCCACTACTTGGCAATGGGTTTACATGCTACAGTATTTATGTTGGAGAATAATAGTGTGAGGTTAGGAGACCGATAAAGTGAATATAAACGCTTGCTTCTTGTGGTTTCATTTGCGACGCAGTCAGCAGCTAGACCGTGTAGCGTCGAATGGTGAGACGAATGATAGATGGGAAAGGATTTGGAAGGAAGCAGTCATGGCTTAATCGGGGTATCAGTCGACATGTTCCTGCAAGGATAGCCTGTTTCGGGACTGAGATTCGAACCCAGCACCTCCCGAATACGAAGCTAAAGAGTTGCGGCTACGCAACGGCACTCTGTGTCTGAATATTAAATTTGTTACGCGTAAGGTTTAGCCATTTGGGAGGGGGGGGGTTGCTTGCCGCTGTGGCAAAGCCAGGCCCC